CATCATTGGGCCAGTTCATGCTCAACAGTTAGACAAATGTCTTGAGTGTATAAAAAGACACTACTATAGTAACCTAGCCAGGTAAATCACCAGCTGGGGAGAACTTGACCTAATTCTGTATTTTCTACCCCAACCCCACCTGTTTGAGCCACATAGCTCCAGCCCTAGAGCAGCAACCCGCCCTCCATGTGGCCACTGCCTGAAGTTCTGGGCAGCAACTCTCAACCCCCAGCAGCAGCACCCCATTTCCCGCAGCTCCAAACCCCTGTGGCACCCACCCACACTCACAACCACAAGCCCTGGCAGTAGACAACCACCCGCCACGTGGCTGCAAACACTGGTGGCAGTCCGTGGTCCCAACTCCGGCAGCAGACACCCGCTGGCCTGCCACCAGGCCACAAGCCCCAGGGGCAGCCTGAACAGCCATCTCCCAACATAGCCCCAGCCACGTGGCTCCAGCCATGGGAGCAGCCATGCCACTCACCTTCCAGATCCAGCAGCAAGGTCAGTGCTGCTGAGTGGCTCTGGGAAGGAGTTGAGTAGGCTTAGAATTTTTTTTGTGAGGCCACACAGGCACACACCTTAGAGGGAACACTACCCTATGACCCTGTTATACTTTTCCATTTCTCTTCTTTTTAGCACTTTTTCCAAAGAGCCCTTTCATTCACACTCCCCTCCCTCCTTTTGTCACCTGCCCCTTTGAACCTAGTTTAAAACCCTTCTCACAAGGCCGACGAGCTTGTGTGCGACAATGTTCTTCCCCTTCTTTGTCATGGGGATGGAAGTCTCTAAAGGTAAATTCATACTATGAAAATTTGTGAACTGTTAACTTTAAAATATGCCTATTTTTTAAATACCTCAGTTTAACAAAATGTTAGCTAAATATATCAATCCAATGTATACAATCCTCAGCCAAACAAAAGTTTAAGTGAATAGATGAGAATAATATCTGTGAAGTGGCCCCCCTTCCAAAATTATTGCCCACTTCTGCTGTTGCATCATGTTTAACTTGTGGTCCACTGACTCCTAGATCCATTTCTGCAGTACTCCTTCCTAGACTATCACTTCCCATTCTGTCTATGTGAAACTGATTGTTCCTTTGTAAGTGGAAGGAACTTTGCATTTGTTCTTATTAAACTTCATCCTATTTACTTCAGACCATTTCTCCAGTTTGTCCAGATCATTTTGAATTTTGGCCCTATCCTCCCAAGCACTTGCAACCCCTCCCAGCTTGGTATCATCTGCAAACTTAAGTGTACTCTCTATGCCAACATCTAAATTGTTGATGAAGATACTGAACAGAACCGGTCCCAAAACAGAGCCCAGCGGAACTCCACTTGTTATGCCCTTCCAGCAGGATTGTGAACCGTTAATAACTACTCAGAGCACTTAAGAGGGGTAGCCGAGTTACTCTAACTGAAAAAACAGCAAACAGTCTGGCAGCACCTTAGAGGTTAACAAAACATATAGATGGTATCGTGAACTTTCATGGGCACAACCCACTTCTTCAGATGAAATGTTCTCTGAGAACTGTTCTCCAGCCAGTTATTCACGCACCTTATAGTAGCCCCATCTAGGTTGCATTTCCCTAGTTTATTGATAAGAAGGTTATGCGAGACCATGTCAAATGCCTTACTAAAGCTTAAGTAGTCCACCACTTCTCCATTATCCACAAGGCTTGATATCCTATCAAAGAAAGCTATCAGATTGGTATGATATGATTTGTTCTTTACAAATCCATGCTGACTGTTACCTATCATTTGCTACATTATCTTCCATGGCACAGAAGTTAAACTGACTGCTCTGTAGTTTCCTGGGTTGTTCTTATTTCCATTTTTATAGATGGGCACTAGATTTGCCCTTTTCCAGTCTTCTAGAATCTTTCCTGACTTCCATGGTTTTTCAAAGATGATGGTTAAAGTCTCAGACCTCCATCAGCTCCTTGAATATTCTAAGGATGCATTTCATCAGGCCCTGGTGACTTGCAGACATCTAACTTTTCTAAGTGGTTTTTAACTTGTTCTTTTATTTTAATTTCTAAACCAACCCTATTTCCTCTAGCATTTGCTATGTTAGGCATCCCGTCACTATCCATCTTCTCGACGAAACAAAGAAGCCATTAAGCACCTCTGCCATTTCCAAGTTCCCTGTTATTGTTTCTCCTTCTTCACTAAGCAATACCCTGTCCCAGTCTTCCTCTTGCTCCTTATATACTTGCAGAACATCTATTTTACCCTTTATGCATCTAGCTAGATTTAGCTTGTTTTGAGCTTTTGCCTTTCTAATCTTGCCCCTGCATACCTGTGTGTAATCTTATATTAATCTTTTGTAATCTGACCTAGTCTCCACTTTTTATATGACTCCTTTTTGATTTTTAGATACAAGATCTCCTGGTTGATCCAAAGTGGTCTCCTGCCATACTTTCTATCTTTCCTACATAGTGGAATAATTTGCTTTTGGGCCCTTAATAATGTCCCTTTAAAAAACTGCCAACTTTCTTCAGTTGTTTTTCCTCTAAGGCTTGCTTCTGATGGGACCTACCAACCAGCTCTCTCAGGCTACATCTACCTTTTTCCAATTGTTTTTTCGGAAGAAGCTTTTCCAAAATTTGGTCCGTCTACACCAGGCCAAAATTTCGGAAAAGCCTCCTCTTTCAGAAAAGCCCTTTTACCTCATGAAATGAGGAAGACAGGGCTTCCGAAAGAGCGTGTCTGCTCTTACACAAAAAAATGTCCGAAGAGCAGATGCATTCCCTGGATGCAGCAGAGTTTTTCCACGATACCTCTGGTATCCTGGAAAAACTCCATAGTCTAGACATAGCTTCAGTTTACTAAAATCTGCCTTCTGTCTCTATTTTGCAGTTCTCTCTTCTACCATTCCTTAGAATCATGAACTCTATGATTTCATGTCACTTTCACCAAGCTGCCTTCCACTTTCAAATTTTCAACAGTTTCTCCCTATTTGTTAAAAGCAAATACAGAACAGCTTCCCGCCAGTAGCTTTCTCAACCTTGTAAAAATTAAAAATGGTCTCCAAAGCAGTCCAAGATCTTATTGGATAATCTATGCCCTGCTGTGTCAGTTTCCCAACATATGTCTGGATTGTTGGAGTCCCACATCACCACCAAATCCTGCGCTTTGGATGATTAGTTTTTTTTTTTTTTTTTTTTTTTTTAAAACAACACACTAAGCCTCATCCACCTCTTCTGCCTGGGTAGGTGGCCTGAAGCAGTCCTCTATGAGATCACCCATATTTTTTACCCCCTTTTAACCTAATGCAGAAACTCTCAACAAGTCTGTCTCCTACAGCCATCTTCACCTCAGTTCAAGTGTATACTTTAATACACAAGGCAACACGTCCTCCCTTTTTCCCTCCCTGCCTATTCTTCCTGAGTAAGCTGTACCCTTCTATTCCAATCATGTGTATTATCCCACCAAGTCTCTTTGATACCAACGATGTCATAGCTGTTTTTAATAGCAGTTCAAGTTCTTCCTGCTTATTCCTCATACTCTTTGCATTTGTATATAGGCATCTAAGATACCAATTTGACCTTGCCTTTCAGTTCCACCTTGTCCCTCCTTTCTCTGATATTATAGCCCAGGCTCCCTCCCATTTCCAACCCATCTCCCAGGTCTCCATGTTTTCAACTTACCTGTGGGTTTTGGTCACCTGCCCCTGTCGAACCTAGTTTAAAGCCTCTCTCACTAGGTTAGCCAGTCTGAATCCAAATACTTTCTTCCCTTTCCTCAAAAGGTGAACCCCATCCCTGCTTAGCAGTCCATCTTCTTATAACAGCATCCCATGGTCGAGGAAGCCACAGCCCTCCTGGAGACACGATCTTTGCAGCCAGGCATTCACCTCTAGGATGCACCCATCTCTGCCTGGGCCCTACCTTTGACAGGAAGAACTGAAAAGAACACACCTATGTCCAAACTCCTTCACCCATACGCCCAGAGCCCTGTAGAGTCACTCTTGATCTGTTCAAGGTCACACCTTGCAGTATCATTTGTGTCCACATGGATGAGTAGCATGGGGTAGTAGTTAGAAGACTGGGTAATCCTTGACAATGCCTCCATAACGTTTCGGATACAGGCCCCGGGCAAGCAGCATAATTCTCAAGATGACATGTCAGGGCCGTAGATGGGTGCATCTGTCCCCTTCAGAAGGGAGTCTCCAACCACCACTATCTTTCCTCCGTGCAGTGGTGGCTGCAGAGCTCCCAGCCTTGGGGGGTACAAGGCTTCTCCTCTTCTGCTTTAGGGGGTGATTTAGAACAGCATAATGGTTCTCTAGCACCACAGTGGGAGGGTTTGGAGCAGGGGTGGAGCACTGCCTGCTGCCAGAAGTAACCAGCTGCCAGTGTCCCCACCCACCCCCCATTCCAAGACATCATCTCCTCCACCAGTGGTGTTTCAGCAGTCCTCTCAAGGAATTGTTCGTGGATTCAGATGCACTGTCCAGAAATTCCTCATGGATGTGGGTGTTCCTCAACCTAGCCACCTCCTCCTGTAGCTCTCCCACATGCTTCCTGAGAGATTCCACCAGAAGGCACCTTTCACATTGGATGGTTGCCCCAGCCTGGATTTCAATAAGTGGAAATTGCAAGCCACAGTCCCTGCAAAACCACACCAAGATCTGGGTAGAGGCATCCATGGTTAGGAGGTCTATCTGGCTACAGGAGCAGGCAGAGGACACAGAAGCAGTGCTGGCACAGGTGTTGAGGGTCTTCCTAACCGTATTGGGACTCCTTCCATCAAACTCCCCCTGTCTGCAGCTCCCTGTCCGCTTCACTTCCCTGGTCACTCTGGCTTTTAAAGCCTGCTCACCTAGGGCAGGCCTACCCCCTTGTTGGCCACACAGTAGGAGGCTGATCAAAAGTCATCAAGGGAACAAGAGATCAAAACACTCCCAGTCACAATCTCAGCTGCTGTTCAAGAAGGACTGAAATCACCAGCAACAGAACACAAACAAAATGCAAACAGTTGAGTAAACTCACTCACCGCAAAGCTAGTCCACTCTCCTGGTGGCCCGTTCAGTGGTGGAATCTCTTGTGCTCCCTCTCAAACTCCCCTGTATGCAGCCCCCTATCCTATTTAATTAGGAAAAATAAGTAGAATAGTGTGTATTAATATTTTTAGACATTTAAGTTTAGTATGGATTTTTTTTAATACCGTATTGTGCAGAAACCAGGGGATGGAGCTAACTATCTCCTCCACCCCCCACAATGCTTAGTGAAGAATCAAGTCACAGACATATCTGAATTTCCTCAATTACATTAATTTTAAAATCATGCCATGGACATCACATTAGCAGTGATTTTTTTAAAAAAAAGCAAAATTCCTAAATGGAAATGTAATAGACGCTACAATCTGTGATAGAATCTGAAATGAGGAAATTTCACTTTGTTTTTACATTAAATTGCTGAAGGCCTGGCATAAGCACACAAAAGCCAGAGTGTACTGGGTAAAGGCTGAAAGCGTCCTTAACTAGCCTTAAGGGGGTAGCCGTATTAGTCTGTAACTTTAAAAATGACAAGTAATGCCCACAAAACAGATATCAGACAGGATCACAAAGAAAAAACAGTTTCTTGCCATTTCAACCAGAAAGGACATTGTCTCAATGACTTGATTACCTGCATCCTGCTTCAAAGACCTTTTAAGACTTCACTTCAAAGAGAATCCTCTGAACTGTCATTCATGCTTAAATTCGACACTTTACACGCAAATTTGAATAAAGACGCTAATTATCTTACCCATTACAAAGATAGCTTCCCCAATTATCACCTCTAATATCATTAGCTCACAGACATTTACCTCAACCCCTTTCCCCCCTCCCTCCATCCCTCTTCTGTTCTAAAATTTGATTTGTCCTTTTCATGTGTGTTCACTTTTTTTTTTAATTGTATCCTTTAGTATATATGGTTGTGACAATTTTCTTCCACTATTTGATCTGAGGAAGTGGGTCTGGCCCACGAAAGCTCATCACCTATTAAACCATCTTGTTAGTCTTTAAAGTGCTACATAGTCCTGTTTTTTGTTTAAGTAGTCTTGTGGCACCTTAGGGTGCCTCTATTGGCACAGGTACTTTTTTCTTTTATAAATTCTGACTCAAGGCTTTTTTCCTCCATTTGTGGGTTTTGCCCATGAAAGCTCATGGTACTTTATACATTTGTTAGTCTGTAAGGGTGTGTCTAGACTACATCCCTCTTTCAACAGAAGGATGTAAATTAGACACTTCGAAATTGCAAATGAAGCTGGAATTTGAATTTCCTGCACTTCATTTGCATAATCACATCATGGCCCTCTTTAGAAAGTGCTATTTGAAAATAAAACTGCAACTTCGAAAATAGAGCTTTTTCAAAAGATCCTGTAAACCTCAAAAGATCCTGTAAAAAAGGAGGTTTACAGGATCTTTCGAAAAAGGCTTCTATTTTCTAAAGAACCGCATCTAGACTGCAGTTTTATTTTGAAATAGAGCTTTCTAAAGAGCACCATGATGCAATTATGCAAATGAAGCACGGGAAATTCAAATCCCGGCTTCATTTGTAATTTCGAAGTGTCTAATTTACATCCCTCTGTCGAAAGAGGGATGTAGTCTAGACACACCCTTACAGACTAACAAATGTATACAGTATCATGAGCTTTCATGGGCAAAACCCACAAATGGAGAAAAAAACCTTGAGTCAGAATTTATAAGAGAAAAAAATACCTGTGAATTGTAGTGCCAATAAGGCTAATCAAGTGGGCTGGAAGTGTCCCATACTTCGTTTTTAATGTCAATGAGGTGTTAAATATAAGAAAAGCTGGTTTTATAATAGGCTATCCAGTTAATGTCTTCATTCAGGCCAAGGGAAACAGTGTCAAATTTATATATGAAGGTCAATGCCTCAAACTTACTCTGTAGTTGGCTTGTGAAATTCCTTTATAGAAGAATGCTACTTTTAAATCCACTATTGAGTGCTCAGGCAAGTTAAAAAGTCCCCCTACAGGTTTGTGTGTGTTACAAATCAGATACCAAAAATGGTATCATAGAATCATAGGGTTGTAAGAGACCTCAGGAGGTCAGAGTCCAACCCCCTGCTCAAAGCAGGACAAACCCAACCAAAATCAACCCAGCCAAGACTTTGTCAAGACGGGACTTAAAAACCTCTAGGGATGCGACGGACTTGGGGAAGCGGCACAGAGCAGAGCAGCTGGGGTGCTGCCAGGCGCCAAGCAGGGCGGTAAGGAGCAGCGCTGCGGGACCAACCCAGCAGCACCCCAGCTGCTCTCTTCCTCAAGTCCGCTGCTGCTGAAACATATGAGCGGCAGACTTGGAAAAGTTGCAGAGCAGCTGAGGTGCTGCCGGGTTGGTCCCACCGCGCCGCCCCTCACCCCCCTGCTCGGCGATAACTATTGCAGTCTGGGGGGTGGGGAGCCCGCTCCCTTCCCGGAAACTCTTGGCGGCGGCGCGGGGCTTCCCCTGCCTTCCTGCAAAACGGTGGAGGGTTCGCCCCTTGCTGCTCCATTCCCTGCCCACGCCCCGGCCGGTCGCAGTGCGGGTCCCGGCAGACCTGTCACAGGGGTATAATCCCCTTTCCCTCTTCTCCCCTTCCCTTTCCCAGGCGCGAGCGCCCATTGGGCTCATAGCAGCACTAACTGTCCAGCTGGCAAGAGCACTTCCGGGTTCTAGTTGGTGCTGGACTATCGGGAGTGCCAGACCACTGGATGCTGGACAACTGGAGTTTTATTGTATCTGGTAGTTCTCGGTGTCTTCAAGGAAACAGGGGTGGTGGCTCTTGATCCAAATGCTCCCCTGCTTGGAGAGCTTTTGGATCTAATCAGTGCATGAGGAGAATATTCGGTGCAATCAGAGCTGCAAGTGACCCATAAGAATTTGTGCATGTACAGTTGCATTTCTGCAGCCCTGTGTGCCAGGAATATGAGCGAGATATCCTACCAAGATCAAGGAACTCCAGCAGGCCTACCACAAGGCAAAGGAGGCAAACAGCCAGTCTGATGCTGCACGCAAAATATGCCTGTTTTATAAAGAAGAACTGGACGGAATTCTGGGTGAGGACCCCACAGCCAAACCCCAGGCACTGTGGATAGTTCTTAGAAGAGGAAAGAGCCAGATATACTTGTCCCAGATATACAGGCACAAGGTGATGAGACTGAAGAGGGCCAGGAGGTGAGGGTAAATCCGGTGACAATCTGTGTACACAGAAGCAAGGAAATGTTCTCCAACAATCTTTGTGAGGATGCTCAGCAACTCATGGAAGAAACGCCACATGTTGAAGCAATAGTAGGGACTCAGGGTACACTACGGTACAGGCAGGCAGGGTTGGTAGCTGAGCAGGTGGTGGCCATGCAGGGTGGGATGGAGGTGGTGCCCCGGAGAGTAGCTGCTATGTAGGCGGGCTGGATTGGGGGCTGAGTGGGTGGCAACCATCGGCAGACATGCAGGGTGGTGGGGATCGGCGAAGCGAAAGCAAGGTTTCCGCGAAGAGCCGGCACTCCCCGGCCCCCTGTTAAAGAGACAGAGCCATGGCAGAGGAATTTTTTTTTTTTTTGCTCAACAAAACACAGCAGGGGGCTTTTTTTAAGGCAACTCTAGGGGTTCCGTGGCCAAATAAAATTGGGAAACACTGGTCTATGCCATCAGAAAGCAGGGAGGGGACAGCCAGAGGCTGTATTTCACTATGGCCAAACACAGCACTGAGGCACGCATGGATAGCAACAGAATCTTCCTGGGAAAGTGTCAAAGATTGGCCCTAATGTACTTATTTGTCATGAAGATCCCATGGCAGGGCTGCCTTTGTCCCACCTGCCCTGCTGCGACACTTTCCCAAGCCAGCCCTCAAGGTGCTCTTTCAACACATGGTGTCTCTTCCATGAGGAGTTGCTGGGCATCCTCACAACAATAATTTGAGAGCAGTTCCTCACTGCTTGGCTGAGTACTGCCCATGCACCTTACTGTACAGGGACCTGGGAGCCCCCATCTGCACAGGTTTACTTTTTAGCCTTCTAGAGATGTTAAACTGCGCTTATCTGATTAATCATATAGTCAATACAAATTGTTTCGACTACACGATTAGCCGATAAGGACCATAGTGTAGAGCCGCAGCAGGAGTAGCTTCAGGAGCCAACTGGAGCCGGGACTGAGCAGTCCCAGCTCCGGAAGCCACCCACGCTCTGCACTGTCCACCAAGCTCGGTCCCAGCCCACGCTGAGTCCAGCAGCCCCTATTCACAGCTAGGGATGTTAATTATCGGTTATTTTACTAGTCAAATAGTCGATGGAATTTCCATCAACTACTCGACTAGTCGATAGGCACTTCCGCATTCCTCCTTTGAAACTCTCCACTGGGGCTCTTGTACATTTCAAAAGAGGAATGCGGAACTCCACCTGCAGCCTGGGGGCCAGCAGGAAGTCCCACTGACTCTGGGCTGCATGCCAGCTTTGAAATGTACAAGAGTCCCCAGCAGGGGCTCTTGTGCATTTCAAAGCAGAAGTGCAGCATGGAGCCCAGGGTCAGCTGGGACATTTCAGCAGAACCTGGGATCAGCTGTGTGTAAGCAGCCCTGCTTACAACCCCAACACTGACAACGAGGAGGCCTGAGATTTCTAAGAGGTTCCTTGGAGCCTCCCTGACATGCCAACTTATGCACTCCTCTGACCGCTTGAGTGTCTGTCTGTCTGGCTGTTCAAAGTGTGAATCCAAGTGTCATGCCTCAGTACTCCACCGTTACTCACAGAAATTAATGTAAACAGCAGCATGTGGCCATCACTTGGGGAATGAGACCCTCCAAAAGATCTAGCCTGCCACAGACACACCACCACCATTGCCCTTTCAGTCTGCCAAAGGCACACTCAACAGCCATTTGGCAGCAGCTTAGCCTGTTGAACCACTCCTTACTGCTGTCTAGATGCCCCATGTAAGGCTTCATGAGCCAGGGCTGCAAGGAGTAGGCTACATCACCTAGAATCACCATGGGCATTTGCACATCTCTCACTGTACATTTCTGGTCTGGAAAGAAAGTGCCAGCATGTAGCCTCCTGTACAGGCCACTGTTCCTGAAGATGTGTGCATCATGCAGCTTTCTAGACC